ATTTATTAAAATTTAAAAATGCACAGAGGACAGGCACATTTCACAAATATTAAAAGTAAATCAACACATGCGGCGCTGTCACATCATCCAAATATCCACATTTAATTTACCATTATATTAGTGGACTGCAAGTACCCTATTCTGTGTACAAACACCAACACATTTCCTCTTTCCTAAACAGTTGTGCACATCTGTAAGTTTTGCAGCTTTCTCTACAGGTCAACAGATTTGTTTGATCTATTTAAAAAAAAAAAAAGAGCGAGTTTCAAAGGTGAGTATGCCACATAGACTAAACAGTCCTAGATGTTTTAAACTGAAGAAGCAGCAGCTCAAGAGCATTAATTGGTGGAAGGAAAGCAGTTGTTGCTGTTTAAGGTAGCACCTGAGAAGAGTTAATTTGTCTCCAGAAGTTTTGTGTTGCTAAGTAATTCTGAAAAAATCTTGTTCCAAACATCTCTACTTATTTATACCTTGCATCTTGTAATACAGTTCCTTCCTGTGTCAAAAGATTGTGTCAACTTTTTTAGCTCTCTCATTGAAAGCCTGAGCAATGGACCGTTGGTATTTATCCCCATAGTGCCTTGCGAAACTATCTATCACTAGGTACTTTGGAATCGCAGAACAAAGTGCAGAACACTTTAGGATAATGTAAAACGTCCCGTCAAATACCGCTCTGTTTCTCAGTGCACCAGGGGTTTCTCATTTCTTATCACAGCATTTTTCAAACAGCAGAGAATGGCAGTGCACTCCAGCATCTGCAGGGAGAAAGCATGGATCTCACGCTTCTCTCCTGTTCTCTATTCAGTGTCATGAGAACATCACACATTTCAGCTGACTTAATCTTGAAGTTACTGACAGAGGAAAAAGACTCACAGGCAGCCAACATTCTGCCTGAGATTGACAGCAGCAACTGGTCATTGGATTTGGCACTCACAGAGCAGCTCTGTTCAGGGCAGACTGTTGCTTTTGGGTGAGGGAAACCATCACTGAGTGATGGCATCACATTGCCGTACAGATGTCAGTCGAAGAGCAGAAGCTACAGCACTTTAAGATGTGTAAAGCAACCTTCCTGGTTGGTGTGCTGAGTGAGCCCCTGAACTGCAGCACAAGGACACCAGAATGAGAGCTGCCCTCTCAGTAAAGAAGTGTGTGGCAATTGCTGTCTGGAAGGTTGCAACTCCTGACTGCTACTGGTCTGTTGCAAATCACTCTTATAGCCTGGGCTCATGAAACCTCATACATGGCACCTGGACAGCAATAAGGGATGTTTAACAACAGTCTGAGCCAGTGCCACATGATATAGTAAAACCTGTGTTATCCAGCATGTTCGGGGATTAGTGCTTTCCAGTTATCTAAAAAATCCAGTTATCAGAGGGTCCCATCAACCTCTGTGGATCACAGTGGGCATTTCACCTACATGAATGCAGGGAAAGTGCATGATGTACACATCTTCAAGAGTTCTAGCCTGTACAGAAAGCTACAGGGAGGGACTTTCTTTCCAGAGCACAAGATTGTTGCAACTCCTGACTGCTACTGGTCTGTTGCAAATCACTCTGGGGGTGCGTTTCTGCAAGTGTGCAGAGCAATACTTTCATTCTGCTATGGAAGACCGTGACTGGGAAATATGCATGACTTTGCAGAGATGGCTTTCTTCCCTGTGGGGGTGCAATAGATAACATGCATATTCCAATTTTAGCGCCAGACCATCTTGCTACAGACTACATCAACAGGAAGGGATACTTCTCAATGGTGCTGCAGGCACCTGTGGATCACAGTGGGCATTTCACCTACATGAATGCAGGGAAAGTGCATGATGTACACATCTTCAAGAGTTCTAGCCTGTACAGAAAGCTACAGGGAGGGACTTTCTTTCCAGAGCACAAGATTATAGCGGGGGATGTGGAAATGCCCATAGTAACCCTGGGAGACCCAACTTACCCCTTATAGCCTGGGCTCATGAAACCTCATACATGGCACCTGGACAGCAATAAGGGATGTTTAACAACAGTCTGAGCCAGTGCCACATGATATAGTAAAACCTGTGTTATCCAGCATGTTCGGGGATTAGTGCTTTCCAGTTATCTAAAAAATCCAGTTATCAGAGGGTCCCATCAACCTAGGAAAAAACAATGGACAATAATAGCAAAACTCAAGTTTTTAATATCGGTAGTTTTGTAGTGTGAGGCATTTGGTCTCACATTTCTATTTTGAGTTAAAGATGATTAGTACTACTTACATAAAAAAATGTTAAGCCAATCATGGTAAACCAAGCCAGGCCTGTGTGCCTGAAGATTTGACAGTATTGTGGTTGGGGGCAATGTCGGTTAACAAAGTTTTCTGGTTAGCAGAGTGCTGGATAACAAAGGTTTTACTATAGTAGCATTTGCCTTTGCCAGATTGAAGGGGAGATGGAGGTGTCTCTATGGTAGACTAGACCATATAAAAGAGAATGTTCCCATAGTCATAGCCACATGCTATGCTTTGTGTAGTATCTGTCAGTCTAAAGGTGAAATGTTTGCTCGGGGTGGAGTACTGAGGCACGCCACTTGGCTGCAGAGTTTGAGCAGCCAGACAATAGGGCTCTCAGAGGAGCCCAGAGGCCTGGTACTAACATAAAGGAGGCTTTGAGGAACCACTTTGACAAAGAGGGCCACTGAAATCTATCTCTTTTGGGGTTGCTTCCCTGCTGCGACCCATTTAATATCAGCACGTAACACATCTATGCAAGAAAATGCTTGAGCAGCCTGTACCTGGGACCAAAGTGATTGCTGTGTGTTGTGGAACAGAAAATAAAATCAGTGCGCAATTAAATTTTTTTGCCTTTTTTGATCAAGACAATTTACAGTGAAACACACTAAAATACCTCTCTGTTTGCTGGCAAGAAGGGTCTTGGAAAGGGTAAAACCTCACCATTGTGAGTAGGTCCACCTGTCATAGTCAAAATTGTATGAGAAGGTGGAGAGCGAGGGGAACTGGGGTTTCCTAGAGAATGAAAAGGAATGTGTGCCCTTAGAGGTACGTTGTTGGACAAAGAATTGTGTACATGCTACAGGGGCGGTCACAGCTGGATCTGCTCACTCTGCAGCTTGAGTACCTAAGGCTGCACTGCCTTGGACCTTTGAGAGAACGATTTACAAGCACCTCAGGCAAAGCTTCCAGAGGGTCTCTCTGTGGTAATCCATTGAGATCTCATTGTGTATCAACACTATGCTTGGGCATAACAGCTAGCTATGCAGAACTGTGTGCAGCTCACAGAAACACTGCCAGACTCCCACTTTTGTGTGCCCCGCACTCACCTCTGCACACCCCATGCCAGAGCCACTCATCCTGTGTCTCAGTGCTTGATTCCTGCTCCCTGTAGAGAAGTTGCTGAGACCAGCCATTCACCCCAGGAGTGGAGAATAGTTCCTGGCTGCCTGCCTCTCCCTACTGGGCAACCCTTTCCCCTGGGTGCCCCACATCCTCCTCTAGCTCTACGTTTTCATCTGTTACTTCATCCTCTGAGTTTGGTCTCCTTTTGCTGACTCTGTGATCTCCATAGTATCCACAGTGCTCTTAATGGTGGATGTGGGTCACCCCCCAGGATAGCATCCAGCTCCTTTATAAACCTGGAAGATCTTGGGTGCAGCATTAGATCGACTGTTTGTTTCCCTCAACTTCTGATACACCTGCCTCCACTCCTTTATCTTCACTCTGCACTGCAGTGTGTCCCACTCATAGCCCTTTTCACACAAGCTTCACAAAATATGTCCATACATGTCCCAATACCTATGGGTCACTCACAGCTGTGACTGAATTGACTCTTCTCCCTGCATACTGATAAGATCCAGTATCTTCATGCATTTGGAATGATTTGCTGGGAAGACACCATGAGACCACTCCGCACTAAGCCAGCCAGAAATGGAATTTAAAGATCCCAGGTCTTGCAAGGGGGTGAAGTGGATTGTTCTTTACCTGGCTACAGGGCAAAGTGCTGACCAGAGAGGCTGTTTGGAGCACTGTGGGAAACTTCCTGGAGGGCAATAAAGGTGCAAAAAAAAAAAAAAGCTCATAGTGTCAACACTGCATGTTTGTTGACAGTAAAAGGAGAGGGAAAGAAAAAAGTCCCTCGTGGAGGCAGAATTCTTTTGTAGCCGAAACTGGCCATTTTTCACAACAAAAGTTGTGTTGCAGTGTGTATGTTATACCAGGTTTGTCACCAGAGGGCAGTCTTTGGCATCAAAACTTGTTAATGTAGACATAGACTTAGACCAAGGCTGGGCAAGATGTGGCCCGGGGGCCAGATGTGGCCTGCCTAACACTTTGATCCAGCTCGCGGACTGCAACTGGCCTCTTTCTATTTATCTCCTGCTTCCTGTGCCACCAAATTTCTTATTGGCTCAGGAAGGGATCAGAACCCAGAGCCCTTTAAATAGCAGAGCAACCCCAGGAGGCTGCCAGACAATGTGGTAGTGGTGGGGGCAGGAGCTACATGTCCTTTTCTGTGTTTTTTAATTCAAAACCTCCAGCCCCAGACAACTCTGGAGGTGGGGAGACTAATCCTCAGGCCACGCCCCTTCTGCCCCAGGCCCCGCCCATTCTGGGGTGAAGCCATCCCGTGACCACAAAAATTAATTAAGTGGCCCCTCTGTGAAAGTTATTGCCCACCCCCTGCCTTAGACACTGTAGGCTGTAAAAGAGAGCCAATCCGTGAACATTAATCCACAACCCACTGGGAGGTAAATGGGAGATCTTCCATTGTTTTCAATGGACTTTTGATCAGGCCTCAATACAGCGTGAGTCTGTCCTGGAGCCAATCCTGGGAACAGCCTCACAATGTGGTTTAAAGGGCAACTACTGGAATCAGAGATGTGGGCTCTTGGATAAGTGGATACCAGAACATTTAGAATCAGTGTCAGTGATACCCTTTTGCCTTGTATTTCTACTCTGTTTTATTCCCCCATTTTAGCCATACTACTATGTAGTTGACAGTAATATTTCTACCTTTCCTCCCCTTCTAGGAATCAGAGAAAAACAGTGTGGTGCTAATAATTTAAAAGAGCTGAAAAGCCTTCAGTACAATAATGCTGCAGAGAGAGACTCAGACTCCACTAAGGTAAAATCAAAAAACCTCACAGTTCAGCAGAATTCATTCAAGTTTATAAATGATCACCCTGTCTCCATAGAGTGGGTTTAGAGTTGTTTTTGTTTAATTACAGTCAACTTCGGCAGCAGAAAAGTTAAATAAAGTGAAGGCTAAGTGATCACAACTCTGTTTGCAGTAGATGTAATTCATCTTATTATCTAGACTCATGCTGAAGAAAAAATGAAATGCACATTTTGGGGGAAAAGTAAGTTCTTGAGAAATACCCCAGGCAAGCTCAACCAATGATAGAAGTGAGCTGAGCAGTGTGTGGGATACTCATCCTCTGATCCCCTGAAAATAAAGCCATGGATTTGCAGTTCACCAGAATTCTCCTTCCGTATGCACTAAAAAGCTTGCAAATTCCCAAAAGAATGTTAGGTCAGCTCTGAGAGACTCATTGCTTCTCAAAACTTTTGGGAGGAGACATTATTTATGATTTATTTTTATAATGTAATCATTCAAAATACTGCCACGTGAGCTGAAACAAATCAGAAGTGTTTCTGACTTACATTTGGACTCTTCATGGGGTTTCCATCTGTTTTGTACGTAACAAAAGAAATTAAGTAATTTTTTATGGAGTACAAGAGACATACAAAATAATACATTTCAAATAACATTTATCCTCATTGAGCTTTAAAAACTGAAGGTAAATTGAGAAGATTGGAAGCTAGGCAAATGTCTTAAAAATGTAGGTTGAGGTACATATAGTACTATAAAATATATGAAGAAAATATAATTCAAGCCATAGAAAAAAAGTTAGGGAAAGGAAAAAATACATTCCTTGGGGCTGGAAAGATATTGGACTGTCAGAGTCACAAACAGTTTAGAAGACGGGGAAAATTCCCAGATTTGCTCTGCTGCTTAGGTCCCAAAAATCTGCCTTCCTGGAACTTTAATCTGAGGATTTTTTAAAAGACAGCATCCTGTGCTATTTTCCTATTCTGGCACTAACAAAGCATACAGGGTAATAGTTTGCCCACTGACTTACCACTCTGAACCTCCCATTTTAGATCACTGATAGCAGGTCAATGTTCTAGTATGAGGCTATGGAGATGGCCAAGAAGAGACCTGTAAGTGCTGCTGCAGTAGAAAAACATAATAATGTCAAAAGAAGGGGTTGAGAAGAGCGGAGGCAGAGAGAAAAGGGACTGAGAAGTCACATGGAAAATTTCAATAGACAGTAAAGCAAGTACAACTTGGCTCCAGGGCCAGAAACAATAGAAATAAACAAATTTCAGAAGTGAAAATAGTTCCTTGGATGGAATAGATTGTTGTCAGCCTTCAAGCAAAATATTAAACCCTAGGAGAATATTTTCTCCCTCTTGGGCTATATTTTACAGCTGTCCCTGTTCAAATTAATCAATAATTGTATAATAGGATTGTTTTATTATTGCAGTTTAGGGTGCTCAGATACCATTGTGAAAGATATGGTATATGAATCTTTAGACAACAGAATAAAATATTGAATACCACGTAAACTCTTGCAAAACACACAGTCCTTCTTCAACAAAACATTCTTCCATCTTTCAGCATCCTCCTTATATTCATATTCTCCTCATCTACCTAACAAATTCCAAAGTTTTGCATAATTAACTGGAATCCAAACCGTGCTCTGTTTATTGTTATTTTCAGCTTGGTAATAGTGGTGGTGGTGGGGGCTGATTATATTTATAAGCAGGTGAATAAGCCACCCTTCCCCTTTCTTGTAATGGCCAATCTTATGAGGGCAAGTAGCCTCAGCAAAGACTTTAAGAAGACTATAAAATTCTGCCATAGCTCTGTCCCTACTTACAATTTATCAGAATCTCGTGATCTTGTGTGTGCAGCCAGTATTCATTGTAATCTGAGCACTTGGGTGGCCACCCAGGAGATATTTCAGTGCTGCTCAACTGCTTAGCAGCATGCCCACAGCACCCATAGCTGGCAACATGTGTTTCTAGTCATGGTGCACATGCCTTGGTGCACATAACACAATTTATTCCTCACATGGTTGAAAAAAATTAAAGGGAACATTGGTGTGTGCAATGTGTCGTCCAGTTCCTGGTACAATTACAAATACACAGAGATGGTTCTCACAAAGTGAGGGAAATTAGAGTAGCATTTTGTGGCTATGAAATCAAACTACACGTGTGTTTTATTATAAATAATATATGCATGAAATGACTGTATATTCTAATATATGAAGATGTTCTGTACCTTGCTCCAAGCAGTCATAATTGTGGTTATCTAAATTGAACTTTTTGGTGTATATATCTGAATATATATTTATGCATGTGCACATGTACATCCTGAATACTCTCATGCTCAATGCAAATAATGCAAGTACAGTATATCTCTAAACATACAACTACTAGAAAGCCCCAGAGTTATGAACACCTCAGGAATGCAGGCAGTTTATAACGCTGAAATGTTCACACTGAACAAAATGTTATGTTTGTTCTTTCAAAAGCTTACAACTGAACATTTACTTCTTTAAAATTGTATTGTGGGAAAAAATGCTGCTTTTAACCATCTTAATTTGAATGAAACCAGCACAGAAATAGTTTTGTCAAACTATGTCAAATCTTTTTTCTTAAACTTTCCCTTGATTTTTTTAGTAGTTAACCTTTAACACAGTACTGTACAGTATATGCCTTTTTTAAATCTCTACTGCTGCCTGATTGCATACCTCTAGCTCCAGATGAGGTGTATGATTGACCAGTCAGTTCACAAAACTCTGGTGTTTGTGACTTTGAGGTTCTACTGTCCACTTCTGGGAGATGGCTGAGGGTACGGCTATGCTGTGGGGAAGAGGGGGTGTTTCTAAGAAGGTATGCAAATTGTGCTTGCATTTGCACATCTTCTTCCGATTCTTTTTCCAAAAGAGGATTTTCCAATATTTTGCCCATCTACATGGGGCCAAATGTTCCATAAAACCCTCTTTCGGAAGCCCCCTGTATAGCTCATTTTACCTTCTTCTTCAGAAAAAAACCACAGTGTAGCTGTACCCTGAGTGAGAGGATTGAGTAATGGGCTAAGGAGCCTGTGACTTAATGGTCAGAGGATTGGATTCTAGCCATATTGGTAATATCAATGTTTTTGACCAGTCGTTTGGTGAGATGCATGAAATAGATTTCTATTTCAATTTAGTTCCTGGTAGATACATGTTTGGATCACACAGCCCATCACCTCAATTGGCTGCCTGGATGGCACATATTGCAGAAAAAGTACAAACAGAAGGGTATAAAGAAATCCTACTTATCCTAAAAGATTGTTTCTCAAGAAGAAGGGTGGAGGTGCACTGGTAAAACTATTATAGAGAAGTCTGGAGGCTCGCTGATTGTGCAGTATCACCTTCTGTTAAATTTCCAGGACTATGGATTTAACTAATTTAATGAGCTATTAAATACCTCCCATAAATCCCCTAAATAAAAAAAAATGCATTATTCAGATGACAATTACCCATGGTCCCAAGTGTGTAGAATTTAATTTGTGACTCAATGGGAACTTTGACCAAGGAGAGAGAACTCTAAGATCTTAGGTCCAAATTTCTTGCTAGTGTAAACTGATGTAGCTAACATTTACCTCAGTGGAGATGTAACCACTTACAGCAGCAGAGAATTTGAGCCATATATGCTGCAGGAAATAAACATGATGTAACCAGTCATCTCTAAATAATAAATTGTAGGTGGAGTTAAACTTCATGCTTGTGCTCATGTGGTAAGTTCTAATAGAATGGTGTATTCTTTGTCACAGCCCATTAGGTACAGGTCCTGATTAAGGTGGGGGGGCTAGTCAGGCAGCTGCCCGGGGTGGCAACCTATGGGGGGCACCTGGCTGACGTGGTAAGGGGCGCTGCGCGCCCAGGGGTGGGGCCATGCATACACTGAGCAGCTGGGCGTATGGCTCCCCTTACCACTTCAATCAGGCGCCCCCCATAGGTTGGCACCTGGGGGCGGGGACGCGCATGCGCTGCATGCCCGGAGGCACTGCGCCCCTTACCATGTCAATGAGGTGCCGCGGGCTCAGGGGCGGAGCCGCACATGCACCACGTGCCCACTGCCCAGGGAGCAAGTATGGCTCGGTCTGGCACTGATTAGGTACGTCATGTTAAGATAGATGGTGATTGTTGTTGGAAAAATGAGTCTGGACCGCTGTCAATCAATTTGGGTCATGTCTCCTGACTGTTATTTAGTGCATTCAGCAAATATTAAACTAGTGAATTAAAAGGTATCCAAAGCACTTACAAGAATTTGTGCATATCTTTTGTGGAAGAGAACAGGGAGAAGTTTTCCCCACAGTCATATTTGATGCTTTTTTTGCAACTGCACAGGCCAAACTCCCACATACACTCCACAGAAAATCACAGGTAAACCTACATTATTCATTTTGTACAGGCAGTAAGTGCTTAAAGCACTTTTAATATTTCAGTAGATCAGTCTGAAAGAGCAGGTTAATCTGAAATTGACAATCACCATTGATACATATATTGTTAGACAAACATAGGACCAGATATGCCAATAGAGAGAACCAGTTAATCATTCAAACTAATGGTTTTAGGATGTTTAATTTTTGCATAAAATGGATCCGATTTTTGCTGAACTCTTCTAGACAATTGTGAATGGATTTGGGGAACATGTCTTTGAAATGTCAGAAAGCAAACTGGTACAAAAAGAAATTTAACAAGAAATCTTGCACAAATCCTATTATAGACTCTGAAGGAGAAATAGTTACATGTATGACAATAGAATATTTCAATAATTTGGATCTTTTTCATTTACAGGAGTCTCTGGCATCACAAAATACAAAAATGATTCCATCCATAGTCATTTCACAGTTGATTGATGAGAATAAATCAAAAGAAAATGGGTCTGCTTTGCCGATGCAGTCTGTGATCACTCAGCCTAATGCTTATCATACGAAGCAATCTCTGCTTAATCATAGTTCAGTCAACATTAATAGAGCATTCACGTTACTTCCCAGCAGATTAGGAATTCAGGCATCTTTCGATGACAACATATCTAGAACAGACTCTCATAAAAAAGGATTTGCATCCATAACAGTTACTGCTAGACGGGTTGTTCCACCTTTTAACAACCCAGTGCAGGTAGCCGTTACTGATACTCTGTGTTTGAAATGCAGGGGAGATGATGTACTAATGAACACTACTGCTACTTCAAACAAGGCAATACGAGCTCAGCACTGCACACCTTTGCATAATCAAGAATCTTATATAAACCGATATGCCACCAGATTAAAGGGTTATGATTCTCATTCACAACTGTGTCAAGGGCATGGAGACGGGATTTTTAACACTGAAAACAAAGAAAACAGAATGTTTCCTCCAGGCAACAATCACAGGAAAAAAGCACCTGTTTCATGCACTTCATCTGTTCACTTCAGAGTTTCCCAGCAGTGTGCAAATACGATCTATTACTTCAACAAGTCACTTTCTGTATGTATTGACCAACCTCAAATTAAAAGCCAAAAAATTCATAGATCAATATTGTCGTTCAATATAAATTGCAGTTCACCCACATTAACACCAGATGGAGCAGATAGCATAGCTAATGGAGAGTCAATAGATGAGATACTTAAAACAAAGCTCCCAGAAGAAATCAAGACTCCACTGAGAACAAATTCAAATGCATATTTAAACGAAAATAATGTAGATAAAAAAGAGACAGCAGAGAAGGAATATTTGAGTACTGCATGTCCTTGGAAAAGTACATCTCCCTCTCAATGTTCAGCATTTGTTGATACACCCAAAGGAACTAATAATGTAATAGTCGCAAAGCAAAAAGAAGATAATTCTGATGAACAGTGTACTAGCAATGACATCAAATTGTCCATTCACATGTCTAAGTGGAGTTATGAGGCAGGTGAGTAATTTGCATAACCTCAAGTCTATTTCAGAGATTCAGACTGGAACAGACCCATCATAGCATCATTATGCAAACAGGTAATAAATATCTTTGCTTCTTCAAAAATAAATACATGATGAGTCTGAGTGCAAACTAGACATTTTAAATCCTTGGACTGATGTGAGTATAATATTTACCATACTAATGATGGATTACATCTGCAATAATATAGGGTAAAGTGGCACCCATATTTTCAGCATACAGCCCCTATCTGTATGCATTTGTAACTCCAATATAAATATTTGTTCCAAACAACGTGTAAGCTCTTAGCCCAAAAGAGAATTTCAACAAAGTCTTTGTTCTGTAGGATTCACTTTTAAACTAGAAATTGTGGAAAATAAGAAATGAAAGGATTCAGAGTGGTTTTGCTCCTTGTGATTAAAAAAAAGGCTCCCTCCCCCCCACACACTTCCTCGCTTTAATGTAGAAAACCATAATAAAATAAGACCAGTCTTCTGGCAACTAAAACAGATGGCAATTTTCCATATGTAAAGGCTGTATCTTCATACCTAGCCATGTTTTGCCAGGCTTTAAAAATATTTCTTCCAAATATCTCAAAGCATTTGACAAATATAAAATTAATCCTCACAACATCTCTATGAGTAAGGTGAGAAATAGATGCTGTAGGGATTGCTTCAATCTGCGCTGAAGCATAGCCTTCACTGGTGTGGAACGCAGCAGCTGTTTTATAGTGCACAAGCAATAACCATGGATCTGTTTAGGGCAAGAAAAATGTTGACCATGCTAGGAGACAATGCAGATAGGCAAAATGTATTTAGATGAGTTGGAATTTGGCAAAGTCATGGAAACTAGTACATTTTCTCTTGTGAAAAATGCAATGGGATGTAGTAGTGATCATAGGTGGGAAGAACCTTGGATTACATAACATCTGAAGTGTTTTGCCTTTGATCACTGTATGAACATTAATTAATTAAACCTAACAACAACCATTTGTGCCTGAGTTTTTCCATTTTACAGATGAGGGGGAAAATGAGAGACAAAAGGATTTTGATATAAGTCATATGCTGACTCGGTGGCAGAGCAAGGCATAGAATTGTGATGGGCATGTTTCCTCAGAGCTTGGTGTTGCCACTAGACTCAATACCTCCCTGTCTCAGTAATGCATGATAGTAACCATTATTATTTTATTTTATTTGTATTTATTAAGATAAAATGATTACATTGTAGATATTCTGTTCAGAAAAGCTGCCGTTGTAGCGCAACTTACCACTGGGAACTTTCAGCAGGCTAGCCAATGTTTTCAAAATGAGACAAGGGTAGATTCCTAAATCTATATGTAGGCACTTACATTAGTAGCTGGATTTGCCAAGGTGCTAAGTTCCCAGTGTTTAACACAATTTGAATATGAATATTTATGAGATTCAAACCTCTTGCCATTGGAAGTCAAAAGGGAAATGGCAAACCATGGTAAGGAGGAGAAGGAAAATGGGGAGGAGCAGGTGCACTGACAGGAGGAGGGCAAAGAGAGCAACTGTCCTGAGTCTGGTGATTCAAAAGGGCCTGGGGGTTCCTGGCTGCCGTGGCAATGGCAGTTGCCGGAACCTGTGGGCCCTTTACATCACCACTGGAGTGCCATGCAGCACTCTCCAGGTGGCTCTGAGGACTGCCTGAAAGGAAGGCAACAGTGCAGCATTCTCTGGGCAACACAAAGGGCTGGTTGCCCCCAGGCTCGCCTCTTCTGCTCAAGGTCCTGCCCCTTCCTGGAGCACAGAGCCGGCTGCCTCCACCTTATCCAGGGGTCCAGCAAGTCTCTCAGCATCTCTGAGGAAGAGCAAGGAGAACAAGGGAGGGGCATCCTCTCTGACTGAGGCTATTGCTTTAACTCTTTCATGTCTCTGCTTAACCATGCTGCCTATACACGTGTGGCATTTGCAAGCTTGCTTCGAAGAACAAATGTTCTCTTGGTATTTTGAAAGGCAAGTGCTATGCATTCAAAGCTGTGCTGAACAGCTTTACTTTAGATGCTGCATGGGATTGATCATAGAAATGGTTATCCAGAATATTTTTTAAGACTTCTCAGGATTAAGAGATACAGCAGTTTCCATTATAAAAGTCTGAATTTGCCATCAATTATTATAAAATGATGTGTGAGATTACCACAATTTATCAAGGAAATAATTGTGGTAACCAGGTGGGAAGTGTTGTCTTATTAAATGGCTTAAACTATTTGTTCACATGATGTAGTATGCAAATGTGTATGTTTCTGTATTATTGATAAGCAAGGTGTTTTGTCACACTTTCCTATGTGAGTTTTATAAATATAACTTACATGACTCCACAGGGCATGGTCTTTCTTGTAGGATCCAAAAATTAATGAGCACTCTAATACTTGTCATGTGTTTACATGACCTTTCCATGTAACAAAACTGAGGAAATCTAATAAAATTCATGAGTCACGTACACTGCTCATTAAAATGAAAGGGAATTGGTTCGGTTTTTTCACCTGTGAGAAAACAAAAAAACAGGACTCTTTTTAGTTCATAGAATCATCACAAGGAAAGATGGAAAAGATCTATTAGGTTGACTAGTCCATTATACCTCAAGCGCAAACCTGGACAGTTTGTCTTGGCTATTGTCTGGACTAGTTTTAAATATCTCACATGATGAAACTATTGAGAGAGACTTACTTGCCCGCCTCATGATGTGACACCTGTGTGTCTGCAACTAAAATTGCAGGAGACTTTTTAGATGCCATATCACAGGGTAAGTAAAACTAATCAGTTGTCTGCTGTCACTTTTAAATATTTTTTACCATTACTGCTTTTTAAGGGTATGTCTACACAGCAGCGTTATTTTGAAATAACTAACGTTATTCCAAAATAACATAGTGCACATCCACACTATCAGCCTTTATTTAGAAATAATGTCGAGCTGGAGGACTTCTTACTCTGACTTATGGCAACCCTCATTTCACGAGGAGTAAGGGAAGTTGAAGGAAGAATGCTCTTCCTTCAACTTCCTGCTTTGTAGGAATTAAGCTATTTCGAATTCAGTTACATAATTGAAGTAGCTCAAGTTGCATAGCTTAATTGAACTTTAGCCCTGCTGTGTAGACACACCCCAAGTGTCTTTCCCCAAAAGTACTGGCTTGGATTTATCCAGGTTGGACTCTGAGTACTACTAGATGAATCTCCTAGATCCAGGTAGGTCCACTTACTTCCTTTCCTGCATGCTAATGCTAGCTAGAAGACTGTGCTTAGTCCCGCCAATGAAAACTAGCAATTGTGATTCAAACATTCTTTATCTCAGGCCTAGACTACTACAGGTTTCCTTACCTAAGGCCATCAGTCACGGCCAACAAAGAATCTAGGTGGTATACTATGTGGCAGCCTGCCTTTTGAGGATGACAAGCTGCAGGAAGCATAATATGCTGTTTTCTGTTGGCTCACCGTACTCTACTGGGTCCAAATCAGAAACCTGATTCTGGGCTCTACAACTTTTAATGATCTTGAACTGGGCTAACCTTAATGATAGCCTTTCTGTTCTTTATGCTCTGAGACCATTGGAGAGACAGAAACTATTTGGTCAGAACCTGGAGTGAAACTACTAAGAGACCTGGACTCAGTATTTCTCCAGTGTTGGGTCCTGGGCTATGTAACAAGCCTACTTACATTAGAGAAGCTGAGAATAATATAAAAGTATAAGGAAAATATGTAGAAAGAAGGAGGAACTAGAGAAGAGGAGAATGAAAATAAACAAAGAAAAGGAATGATGAAAAGGAAAAACAGTGATATTCCCAGTGTAAATGACTCAGCCTAAGAAATACCAAAGGAGATGCCTCATTTTATACTCTTATACCACTTTTATTCTACCATATGTAGTGCCTAGCTAGTGCAGTGACTGATGCACTATACTGTAGATGCATATCTATTTTTTTATGCCCTTTCTGATTAAAACAGAATATTTTTTAACTGCACCCACTAAAATACCTAAGTTAGAGAGTAAGAAAATTTCCAAGACCAACACTCATTTCCCTTGTCCCCTGTTATAATATTGACTAGTTTGGTTTGAAGCTGTCAGATTGCATTTCAGTCCACACTTCACTGGGAGTTAGGGCTGTGCAAGTAATGCCGGATGCAGGACCACACCATTTGACAAGCAGCCCATGCCAGCATACAGTGCAGTGTTACATTAGATGGCTTGTCAGCTGAGTTCCCAGCAACTTAAAAAGTTTGAATTTATATCAGTTTGGAGCACTAAATAGGTAGCTAACAGCTTCCTGGGAATGTAGGAAGGGAAGCAGATGGATAATATCCTCCCCAGGATAAGGAAAAACAAAGTCAATGGCTGAACTTTTATTTTGGCTTCTAACTGCTGGCATAGTCCTACAAATTCAGTTTTGATATGACCTTAGTGGGGATATTAGTCAAGCAATACTTAACAATCCTTAGCACTTTTCATATTCAAATTATTCTACAAACATAATCTAATTCAGGGGTTTTAAAATGTTTATATTAGGGTAGGCCTCTTCCCATTTGTATTCATGCATCACAGTCACCTATACAGTTCAACTACACTTGCTTACATGCCCCTCCCCCACAAAAATAGAAAACTATTTGATGTCCACTTAGCTGCCTTTTAGTGCATTTTGGCAGCCGTAAATCAGCAGGAGCATTGGAACCATATCACCAGACAGGTCTTCATGGACCACCAATGGTGCATGGACCAAAATTTCTATTGGACGAGTGAATTATGCACCAGGAACATCCGTCTTGTGGAATAGGAAGGCAATTTCCTTTTCCATATGCAACTGGCCTGATCCTCCACTGTTCTGTGCCTTGTGTATTAAAATTTATAACAGTGCAAAGTGCATGAAGTGGGGTGAATCATTAACATTCTGAACTGGTAGTGGGTTACACTCACTTTGCAAATGCACTGGTAACTACAGAAGGCACAGAGCCACAGAAAGAATCTCTCCCAGTATTCATACAGCTCCA